GTGATATACAATGGTATCTCATTGGAGTATTAATATGCATTTCTCTGGTGACTAACAATGTTAAGCAATTTTTATATATTTATTTGCTTTTTGGATATCTTTTTGTGAAGTGCTTATTTAAGACTTGTCTATTTTAAAAGGGGGGAATTGTCCCGGTTTTAGTTCATATGTGTTCTTTATTTATTTTCATAAATTTCTTTCCTTTTTTAATTAAGACAGTCTCACTTTGTTGCCCTCAGTAGAGCAACCTCTAACTCTTGGGTTTAAGCAATTCCCTTGCCTCAGCCTCCCAAGTAGCTGGGACTGCAGGTGCCTGCCACAATGCCTGGCTATTTTTTTGCTTGTAGTTATCATTGTTGTTTGGTAGGCCTGGGCTGGGTTCAAACTCGCCAGCTCTGGTGTATGTGACTGGTACCCTAGCCTCTGAGCTACAGGTGCCAAGCCTATTTTCATAAATTTCTTATATATTTGTATTAAAATATATTTTTTCAAGCTATAGCCAGCTTTCACTCTTTTAATGATGTCCTTTGGTAAGTAAAATTATTAATTTTTATGAATCTAATTTATCAATTAGTGCTTTATGTTCCTTCATTATCAGGGCTTCTTGAGCAGTTTTACATTTTATTTCTGAATCACTTATTGCTAACACATATTTATGCCTATATCAATATAAATATAATGCAATTGATTTTGTATATTGACCTCATAACCTGTAATTATAATAAATATACCTATTTTTTAGATAATAAATGATGGCATCTTTTATTGCATATTCTAGGACCTATAAGATAATAGCTAATTAGGTTATCTTAGTTATTGCTCACTTCATAAAAGATTATTTTAATATTTACTAGCTTAACACAACAAACATGGGCTCATGCCTGTAATCATCCTAACATTCTGGAAGGCCAAGGCAAGCAGATTGCTTGAGCTCAGGAGATTAAGACCAGCCTGACCAAGAGTGAGACTCTGTCTCTACTAAAAATAGAAAAATTAGCTGGGTGTGGTGGCAGGTGCCTATAGTCTCAGCTACTTGGTGATCTGAGGTAGTAGGATCACTTGAACCAGGAGTTTGAGGTTGCTGTGAGCTAGGCTGATGCCACTGCACTCTAGCCTGGGCAATAGAGTGAGACTCTATCTTAAATAATAATAATAACATTTGTTATTTCAGAGGGTAAGTATGTGGGAAACATTTATCTGAGTGCCTATGGTGTAAGGTATTTTATGAAATTGTAGTCAACCAGTCAGCTAAAACTTTACAAGCCAGAAGGGATTGAGTTCCCATTTTTAGTTTTCTTAAACAGAATAAAAGTCAGTTAAGAATTCTGTATTCTGCAAACGTTTCATAAATGAAGGAGAAATAAAGTCTTTCCCAGACAAGCAAACACTGAGGGAATTTGTTACTACTAGACCTGCCCTATAAGAAATGCTTAAAAATGTTTGTACATGAAAGAGAACACTCAAAATCCACAAGTGTAAAACACTCAAAAGTTAAAATTCACAGCTCTCATAAAACAGTAACACAAGGGAGAACAGAGTAATGAGGTAACAGGCAACAAGATGACCAAACAGTAGCTCACATAGCAATACTATCACTGAATGTGAATGATTTTAATGCCCTACATAAAAATATAGATTGGCTAAATAATTTTTTAAAAACCCTGGCTCAGCACCTGTAGCACAATGGTTATGGCACCAGCCACATATACCAAGGCAGGCAGGTTTGAAACCAGCCTGGGCCAGCTGAACAACAATGACAACTGTAACAAAAAGTAGCCAGGCATTGTGGCAAGAGCCTGTAGGCCCAGCTACTTGGGAGGCTGAGGCAAGAGAATCACCTAAGCCCAAGAGTTTGAGGTTGCTGTGAGCTGTGATGCCATGGCACAAGGGCGACATAGTGAGACTCTGCCTCAAAAAAAAAAAAAATTTTTTTTTAAACCCAAATATATGCTATCTACAAGAAACCCATTCAACTCACAAAGATTTTCATAGACTTATGATAAAAGGGAGGAAACAAATATTCCACACAAATGAATAATAAAAGCAAGCAGAAAGCATTCCCATGTCAAATAAAAGACTTTAAATCAATAATGACTCAAAAAAGACAAAGATAGTCATTATATAATGACAAAGTATCAATTCAACAAAAATATATCATAGTCATAAATACATATGCATATGAGTTCACAGATTCACAAAACAGATTGCTAAGGAAAGAGCTACTAGAGCTAAGGAAAGAAACACCAATATCTTAATAACCACTAAGAGCACTAGACAGATTACTAAGGCAGAGAATCCACAAAAACACACTACATTTAAGCAGGACTTTGGAAGAAACGGACCTCACGGATCTTTATAGAACACTCTACCCTAAAACTGCAGAATATAAATCCTGATCAGCACAAGGGACATTTTCCAAGGTAGATCACAAATCAGGCCACAAAACAAATCTCACCAAATTTATAAAAATCAAAGTTATACCATGTATCATCTCACACTATAGTGACATAAGACTAGACATTAATTCCAAGAGGAACTTTTAAAACTACACAAGTACATGAAAATTTAAAAACCTGCTGCTGAACAATCTTTGAGTCAGTGAAATAACCAAGATGGAAATAAAAAAAAATTTTTTTTCAAGATAAAGTCTCACTTTCTTGCCCCTAGTAGAGTGCCATGGCATCATAGCTCACAGAAACCTCAAACTCTTAGGCTCAAGCAATCCTCTTGCCTCAGCCTCCCAAGTAGCTGGGACTACAGGTACCTGCCACAATGCCTGGCTATTTTTTAGAGACTGGGGTCTTGCTCTTGCTCAGGCTGGTCTTGAACTCTTGTGTTCAACCAATTCACCTGCCTTGGCCTCCCAGAGTGCTGGGATTACAGGTGTGAGCCACTATGCCAAGCCCTTAAAATTATATTTTTAAGTTGAGTGACAAAGGCAACACAAACTTTCAAAATCTCAGGTATGTAGCCTAAGTACTGCTAAAAGCAAAGTTTATAGCACTAAAGGCCTGCATAAAAAAGACAGAAAGATCAGACATTAACAACCTACTGTTATACCCCAAGGAGCTAGAAAAATAAGAACAAACAAAACTCAAGGCCAGGAAAAGAAAAGAAATAACAAAAATCAGAGCAGAACCAAATGAAAAGAAAACCAAAAAATCAATACTAAGCATCAATGAAACAAACAAACAAAAAAAGGTCCTTTGAAAAACTAAACAAAGTGAATAGATCCCTAGTGAGATTAATCAAAAATAGAAGAGGAAGGATTCATATAAGCTCTGCCAGAAATGAAAAAGAAGACATTGCAACTGATAACACAGAAATATAAATATCATCTGTGACTACTATGCAAACCTCTGTGCACACAAACTAGAGAACCTAGAGGAAATGGATACATTTCTGGAAATACACCACACCTCCCAAGCCCAAATCAAGAAGAAGTAGAAATCCTGAACAGATTAGTAAGAAGAGTAATAAAAAATTTCTCAGCATAAATAAGCCCAGGACCAGATGAATTCACATCTGAACTCTACTAGACCTACAAAGAACTGGGACCCATCCTAATGAAACTGTTCCGTACATTAGGAAAGAGGGAATCCTCCCTAACACATTCTCCCTCCACATTCTCTCCAGTATTACCCTGATACCAAAGGCAGCAAAAGACAAAACAAAAAGAAAATTACAGACCAATATCCCTCGTGAACATAGATACAAAAATCCTCAACAATGGAGTAAACAGGCAACCTACAGAATGGGAGACAATATTCACTAACTATACATATGATAAAGGACTAACATCTCATATCTACAAAGAAATCAGCAAGAAAAAAAACAACCCATCAAAAAGTGAACAAAAGACATGAATAGATATTGTTTTTCAAAGATAGACAAATGGCCAGCAAACATGAAAATATGCTCAACATCACCAATTGCCAGGGAAATGAAAATTAAAACAGTGAGATACCACCTTCCCCTATCAGAATGGTCACTACTGAAAGTGAAAAAACAGATTTTGACCTGGATTCTGTGAAAATGGAATGCACATACACTGTAAACTAGTGCAACTTCTATGGAAAACAGTATGCAGAGCCCTCTAAGAACTCAAAGTAGACTTACTATTCAATCTACCAATCCCACTACTCAGGATCTACCCAAAGGAAAAAAAGTTGTTTTACTGGGGAAAAAAAAAGAAAAGAGGAGAGAAGAGGAGAGAGGAGGGGAGAAGAGGGAGAGGAGAGGAGAGGAGAGGAAAGAGGAGGAAAGCGGAGGGGAGGGGAGGGGAGTAAAGGGAAGGGAAGGGAAGAAAAGCAACACCTCAATGTTTACAGAACACAATTCACATTTGCAAAGATATGGAATAAACCTAAGTTCCCATCAACAGAAGAGTGGATAAAGAAAATGTAGTATATATCTGCCTTGAAGTACAGCTCATCATAAAAAGGAATGAAAGAATGTCTTTAGCACCACTTAGATAAAACTGGTGACCATTATCCTAAGTAAGGTATCTCAAGAGTGAAACAACTAATTCCACATGTTCTTACTTATAAGTGGAAGCTAAATAAGGAGTATACATGGTCATAAAGCAATGTAATGGATGTTGAAATCTGCAAGGGAGGAAAATGGTAGGGTAGTAAGGGATGAAAATCTACCTATTGGCATAATATAGACCATTGCGGTGACAGGTACCCTAAAAGCTCTGATTTCAGCATTATATAATTAATCCATGTTAAAAGAAAACACCTGTACCTCCTACAGCTCTTAAAATTAAAAATAATAACCAAAAAATACAAGGTATTTACCCTCCATACACCCAACACAAAGTGAAGAGATGAGGACAGAATAGCTACAATAGACGCTGTGTTTTTAAAAGTAAGAGAATGGGAAACTCGTAATAATTACTTGTCCAAAGCAGTTTAATGACTCAGCTAAACACGTGCCACTAATTTCTTTCTCTGAAAACCAGGAATACTGGTTGCTTATGGCCTAGTCCTACTCACCAAAATAAGTCTCCATATCTTCGGGGTCTGTCCTCTGGAATGTTAGTTCTACTTTCTGAGTCATCCACATTTTTTCTTAAGATTTGTAAGATTTGTAGCTGAGTAGTTTTCTGAGCTTCCTCAGCGCTCCTAGAAGGTTGGGAGCCAAGAGACATGTTTTCAGAGAACCATCCATCTAAGCAGGTAAAATTCCCTTAAAGTCTTAGTGGATTTGTTTATCAGATGATAAACCGCTTTACTAAACATAGCCACACATTTCTTTAAGACACATAGTACTCTTTCCATTTTTGGAAAGTATATCTTTCCATTTTTATTGGGGTGTGGGTAAAATAATATTCTTAAGATATTCAAAAATTCTTTTATTTAGCAGAGAATATTTACAGGTCATACATCCAAGATTACTGGAATCTCTTTTCAGTGAGCAAGAAGGTCCAGTCTGCTCCCACCTGAAATTTTCTTTTGAGGTCATCATAGGGAATCTCACAGCTTCCCTCTTGCCTTGATCTTAAAATTTAGATAAGCTTTTTATTGGATACATGCCCTAATATACGTGGGCACCACCATCCAGTCTGGAGAAAAAGGTCACAGTTATTTAAATTACCAAATATCATTCATTATTTAAGATGTTAAATTATGTCCTCAAATTTTTCTGGTAAAGTCAAAGTTTTTTCCTTAATTCATCTTTCTTTTCTTGTATTTTATCGGATGCAGGTCAAAGAAACCAAGTAACACTTTCAGCACCCTGCCGATCAACGTCCTAACCTAGCTCCATCAGTTTGTGAAGAGAATGATATCGTGGGGATCACGCCTATGATCTATCCTATTAGGGTACATGTGAATTTGTCTAAAGGTTGAATATAAATGTCTTAACACAACAATTATGAGAAAGACGTGATGGCTATGTTAGCCAGTTGGATGAGAGTTTGCCAAACTGCATATGGAAGCAGCACACTGTATCCTATGATAGAATTAATGTACACAATTATGATCTAATAAAAAAATGAAAAAAAAAGTACATTTCCTACGTCCAACATTATTATTGGTGAGAGGTGACAGATGTTTGACACTATACGACACGGGCTGACTTTTCTTCAGTCTCCAACAACCTTCTCATTACTTTTTCAGTCTTACCTAAAATTTCTCAAGTTCCCACAAATTGCCTGATCCCAAAGGCAGCGCCCACCTTTTATCTTGTTGTTGTTCTTATCGTGTTGTTACTACGGCTGTCTTCGTTCTAGGAGCTTTTTTCTGTGATTTTTTAACACTTTTATTTTCATGCTTTAGTGAGATATTCCTTACAGACATTTTTTCCCACCAGTTTACCAATCATTTCTTCTCCTGTATCTAATCTGCTCTTCAACTCACATATTAATTTCTAAATTCCATTATTAATTTTTTGAACTCTAGAATTGGATTTTGATTCTTTTATATAGATTCATGTTTTCTGATGAGCTGCACTTTTTTCTCACATAACTTCTTAAACATATACTGCAATTATTTTAATTGTCATGACTAATAATTTTGATACATGGATCTCCTACGACCCTCTCTGTCGATGTTTCCTTCCCTCCCTTAGCTGAGACTTATTTTGCTCTGTCTTCTAACACATCCAGCAATGTTGAATGAAGGCTGGACATTATGACTGAACTCTAATACAGAGGCTCTGGTATTGTTCTTTTCCTCATAGAAAATTTCATTTTTCCTGGTAGGCGGTTTAATTAAGAGCAGATCACCCTGAACTGATCAAGAATTGACAAGAGTCAAGCCAGAGTTTCTGTTTTTGTGAGATCTGGTGTATTTCTAGTTTTTGCTTTATTCCCAGCACATACACAGGCCTCTCAAATGGGATCCTGGCATGCTTACTAGGAGTCCTCCTTCGAAGTGTCCTATAATTCCAATTCTGTCTTGCCAGCATCATGAGCCTACTAAAAACTCGAGCTTAACGTCTTAGCTTCGAGCTGCTACTTTCTTTCAGCTCAGCTTTCACCTTAGGCAGTTTAGGATTTTGCAAATGCTTTCAGGGTAAAACCTGCGCAGAACTTCGGAATCACTTCTGTTGGTCCCTTTCCTGTGGGACCTTAAACTCTCAAGTTCTGCTTCACTTCATAACCCTGAGGACCAATTTTTGTCTCCACAAGCTGGTGACACTGCAGAATGCATGAGCTCTCACCTTTCTGCTTGGCTTCTTAGCTCTATACCTGGTACAAATTAGGAAGTGCCTCAAGGAGAAAACTGGGAATATTGGCATCACCACATGTGTTTTATTTGTCCTCTAAAATTGTAACTGTGCTCCAGAGCTTTCAAACAGCTGTGAGATTTGTTGTTGTTTGTTTGGGGTTGTTTTCTTTTCTTTTTTTTAATCCAGCTTTTATAGATATATCTAAGCAGAATGGTAGGCCTATATGAGCTATTCCATCATTGAAAAAAAAAAAAAAGCAGAAGTCACATCACATTATAAGATTTACTGATGGCAAATTCTATGTGGGTGTGAGGTTGCCATTATTGCCAATCCTATAACTTTAACCTTATACACCTAGTACTGAATCTGATATTATTTATCTCCATAGAAATTTACAGCTGGAAAAGACAGGATCTCAATACAACATGTATTCCTACACCAAGGTATGTCATGAATAATGCCAAAAACATTCTCAAAGTTTCATACCTACAGCCTTCAAAAACTCCTTGAATAGGGTTAAGTATTTTCCTTTTAACCTTAATGGCTGGATAATGAATGTACTCGTAAAGCTACGCAAGGCGTTTCTACAAATATACCGACAAATTTTGATCAGACCTGTCTCCTGGAAGAAAACTATCCTCCTTTAATCTTTCATTTTTTACCCCTTAAAAAAAAAATCTGCCCCAGGTAAACGAATGACCGAATGACAATATCTGTAGGCAAAAACATACTAGAAAGACTAGGGCAGGGAACTTTGGGAATGAAACCAGAGAAGCCCATTAATCTAAAATGAACTATAGCACCTCAGCCCAGTTTCAGCCAAACAACTCCCCTGCTGATACTTTTGCTGCTGGCAGTAACTGCAGTTAAAGAAAGTTCATGTTTCTCAGGAGGCCCTGGGATAGAAAAGGCGTCTTTAATTTAAGCAAGCGGGATAAATCAATTTCTCTCTCTCTCTCATTTTCTCCCTCTCTTCCCTAACAAGGCTTTAACAGCCCCGGTGATGATAGTGGAATTCTGTAGGTGCTGCCTACGTATTGCTCTGGTCCTCAGAGACTAAGCATTTTAAGTATCGGCTTGTCATGGAGTCACCATAGGCTCTACTAGAGATCAGTATTTGGGAGCCTCTCAACAAAACCTCAGTTGAGGGACTTTCAGCATGGCTGGCATGTGACCAGGTTGCTCTGTGGTGTGAATGATATATCCAGCCTGAAGACTGTTCAAGAGCCAGCTATAAAAACACACAGAATTCTGCCTAGTTGCCCATGTGAAACTTTATTTCCCCAGTGCCTATTCTGCCTTAAATTAAGTTCCCTCTTTTGAGAGTTATGGGGATTTGCTTAACCAGCAGGAGAGTCATTTCATACCATGGAAAGGCAGCTCACAATACTTAGTATTTCCTGCCCTATAACTGTGGAACACCCTTGGCATTAGAGACCATATATATCAATGCCATTGCCCCTCTAGAAAGTAAACCAAATGTTTTATACTGAGGCCCAAGGCACTCTGACAATGTCCTCTTATTTGCAGAGCTTAGTTAACATCACCAGTGATAATTACAACCCAGAAACTTATTAAATATTCAATCAGCCGAAGCCACTGAAAACACCATGGTTTTGCAAGTTCTATACCCCTGGTATCTGCTAAAGGAGGGCCCCAAAGTGTTTTTATGTAACCAGAGAAAATAAATAATTTTTTAAAATCACAATTTACTTCTTAGGAAGTAGCAAGCACAAGAGGATTTTCTGGAAATTGTCTATACCTTAATTGGGTCTAGGTATACCCAATTTTGTATACTTCCATTTTCTATACCCTGATTGGGTATCCCTTAATTGGTGGGTCAAATAGATGTATACATTTGTCATATCACAACAAATTTTATGCTTATTATCTATACATGTCACTGTATGGATTTTAATTCAAATGAAGAGGAAAAGAGGGGAAGAAAGAGATCTCCTACATACTGGTATGAGTAATAGATGTCATTCACCCACAAGAAGCATCAGGAACTCTCTTGAAAGGGTCAAGGGGGGAGAGGCTGTCCTAAGAACTCCCAGACAGGGAGCTTGTTCATAAAGAGTTTTCTACTTGAGCTTTGACCTCCTACTCCTCATCTGATGCCCTTACGTACTATAAGTCACTTCACATTCCTTTCTATAACAGGAAAAATTAGTTATCAACAAATTCAACTAATACGCTATTTTAACCGACTCTTCCCTCCTTGGTGAGGATCTTATGGTCCTTGTCGTATGGTCATCACTGTCTACAGTGCACTCCAGTCATTTTGAACTATAAGAAAATGTTTGGTACCACAAATTATGCCCTCTTTTGCAACATAAAAGAACCCCCATGTTCAGAATCAACTTCCTGTTTCTTTTTCCCCAGGAATCTCTCTGTGCTGTTCTTTTTTTTCCCTTTCTTTCTTTCCTTTGTTTCCTTCTTTCTTTCTTTCTTCTTATTGCCACTAAATGAACAATTAAGAAAAAATGCCAGACAACAATCTTAGATGTGATTTTTGAATAACATGCTACTGTTATCTTTTAGCATTGGAAGATATGTTAAAATAACAAATCTCAGTATATTTCTTTCTCAGTATATGCTGAAGGGGATTAGTTTTTCTTCGATTTCTTACAGTGACTGTAGAATAGTAATAATGTCAAGTACTAAAAAATAGCTTTGGGGTAATTAACAATCATGTCAAAATCCAGTTTTGTTGTTCCTGTGTGTAGATTGCTTGTAACTCATAATTAATATGGTGCTCATTTCCAGTGAGACTGGTATCCAAGCTGTTTCCTTTCAGAACAAAAGAGACAACTCTGAAAAAATCAGTTCCTTCAGCAGAATGGCTTGAGATTCTTCCTGTGGATCACCTTGAAACTCGTTATTATTATGAAATCTTTTCATTCTAAGACCAGAAATTAGGATGCCATTTTGTAGCACAAAGTCTAGAGGCAAAAAGGTACCATGGCACACTTCGAATTTAACATCCTACATTTTCTTGTTGACTATTATTTTTAAAAATCCAGTACGAAAAGTGATGGTGTTAGAAAGACTGGTACATTCAGTCAAAAAATATACCTTGCAATATGCTAGTTGAGTGACCTTCCATGAAGTGAAGAATTGAAAATCAGTGACGGTGATCTCAGAAAATGAGAACTTGAGGGCCAGGCTTAGTGGCTCATGCCTGTAATCCCAGCACTTGGGAGACCAGGGCGGGTGAATTGCCTGAGCTCACAGATTCAAGACCAGCCTGAGCTGGAATGAGACCTCGTCTTTAAAAACAGCTGGGTGTTGTGCGGGCCCCTGTAGTCCCAGCTATTTGAGAGGCTGAGGCAAGGGGATCTCCTGACCCCAAGAGTTAGAGGTTGCTGTGAGCTATGATGCAACAGCACTCTATCGAGGGTGACATAGTAGGACTCTGTCTCAAAAAAAAAGAAAGAAAGAAAAAAGAAAATGAGAACTTGAAGAGGATAAGGAACAAAGTAAACTGGGCTCAAGTCATAATTCTGCTGTGGGATGAGAATGTGACATCAATCAGTTTCTTTTTCCTCTCTGGAGTCTTCCTTTCCTCAGCTGTTAAATTAAGGAAATGTTCTAGGTAACCTCTGGGTGTCCATCCAGCCCTACAATTCTTTGCCAAGTGCTGTGCACGGTAGGCCTGCTCCATGTGGATTTGTAAAGTTTAAAGAATTTCAAATGACACGAGCAAATCCCTTCATAAAGAAGTAAATTTGTCCGCCTTTTCCTACAGTTGCTACCTTTTCAGAATTTGATTTCCCAAGTAATGGCCATTTATAGACCAAGAAATAAAATTAGTAAAAAAACAGATGGGTTGGCCTGTCCTCTCCCTTCCTAGGATCATCTTCCTTTAACTGAAGTGAAAGTCATATTTGCTTAGGCCCTCAGCTGTTCTCAACCTGTGGGTCATGACCCACACGAACTGTATTAAAGGGCCATGGCATTAGGAAGGGTGGGAACCACTGGCTTAGGGAATAGATTAGCTGTGAGGATCCCCACTGCCTCTTGAGTCAAGGTCAGTTAAAGGGCAGAGGACAACCAAGGTAAACAAATCAAAACTCCTGAAACTTATTTTTCTTTTGTTGTATCAGCCCGTTTTCTTGCCAGTCTGCTTCTATACAACCTGATTCTGATTACCAGTTAATGAGGGAATTTCGAGGTTTGGCTTTTGTTCCTCAATCTTGCTCCTGACCGTCCAATCCACTCATGGAAAGCATTCCATTTCATGCTCTTGAAATGGTATCTGCTTCTATCTGCAAACTGAGTGGCAGTTCTCTAGCCCCCAAGAATTATTCATTCACCCCAGTATGTTGACTCCCACTTTGTAATTTACTACCCATATAAATAAAAGGATCCAAAGAGAAATTACATATAACACAAATTATAAGCTTGAAACAAGAATAAACAACAAACATATAGCTGGGAACAGCTGTTCACATTTTTTCTGAGGCTCTAACATAGAACCAAGTAAGTAAGAACTCAATGTTTCCCCCCATAACTGCAACAGTAGATGGCACTAAATAATATATATATTTTTTCTAAAACTTGTACATCCTGTGGTATTGTTCTGCCTATGGTATTTTTCCCCCTATGGTATTTGTTGAATCCCTACCTCTTGCTCCTGGAATCACAAAGCCCTTTTCCCTTACGTGAAATTAACCTGGTTAAATTTTAGTACATTGTGTAAACAGGGGTTTGTTCTTATACTTCGTAAAGTTAATGAATCCAAGCCCTATGCTTCAGGCAAAACTAATGATACTTCCCAGAATTTTAGGTTGTATCGACTGCCTACTTACCATTGTGTTCTAAACATAGCATTTACCCTAACCTGTCATGGGAATCACACAAAGTTCTTGGCAACGCTGGATTTACAGGAGGCAGAGCTGCAGTGTGGATTATCAGCAGGTTGAAAGAGAGAGTTGAGGAGTGTGCCAAGCCACGCTCTCTGCTTCTCACTCCTTCCCCAGGAATGCCTTTGTTATGACCCTGTGGGTTGTGGCAAATGCAATTTCTGTCACCAGAAGAGAAAGAAACCAAGGAAGAGAGTGAGGAAAAAGAGATAGATATATTTTTAAACACTTTATCTGCACCAGATGCCAGAAACACAAAGGTAAATTAGGAAGCATTTGTGACCTTCAGACTCCCTGAGTCTAACGGGGAAATTGTTATACGTGTTAATGACAATGACAAGAGAATAGAGTCACATAGTGACTTCATTTTGTTCTCCCAACCACATGGAGGGGTAAAACCACATAATACAACTGTTAAGAACATGAATTGAAAGTTCAAACTTACATGAGGCCTCAATCCCAGCTCTGTCACTGGCTTACGCACATGCCTTCTACAGTTACCACAATTACCAAATCCCTCCTGTGCTTAGAGCCTGGGGGTGGGGTGGAGAGGAGTGTAGCAATAGTACTGACGTCAGGGGGGATTATCGTAAGAACTAAACAAAATCATACATGCAAATGTTTACATAGGGCTTGGAACACTCATAAAAAAAATGATTAGCTCTTTTTATTATCTTTTGCATTTCACAGATCAGAAAGCAGGCCCAGGGGTCAAGGACAGGACTTGAGCTCACATCGGATTCTGAGCCCAGTGCTGCTCCCCGTGCACAGGGACGGAACCACTCAAATGACTCAGCCAAGTTCTATGCCAGAAAGATGCACTGCTGTGTATCAGAGCTGTCTTTCTCTGCACGTACCACTGGTGCTTGAAACTTCTTCCTGCCCTCATGTGGGAGGTTATAGAGGTCCAGAAATACCACAGACTATGTCTTCCTGTGGAATCACTCATTATCTGCTCATGAAAGAGCAAGATTTGAGATCATGCCTAAGGAAGGGCCAGTGAATCAGAGAATAATACATTTTTCCCCTCCAACCACATTCCATGTTCCAAATGAGATCCAACATGTGAAATCCCATGGAAAACTACTTTTCATTCATTCAGTCTTCAAACAGCTTTTCCTGAGTGCTTGTTTAAATTCTAAGCACTGTATTCAAGGTTAGGCCATGTAGCTGAATAAGAGAAAGTCCTTGTCCTCAGAGAGCTTAAATTCTATTGAGGCAGTAAAAAATGAACATGTAAGCAGATAAATCTGTCCTGTACTTTTAACTAGTGATGAATGTTATAAAAAAAAAATAATAATAAGGCAGGATGCTAAGATGAAGGCTGAGGGTGAGAGGTCTGGTTTGGATTAAATGTTCAGAAAAGCCAGTCTGAAGTGATGAGTTGAATAGAGACCTAAAGGTGAAGATGAAGCCAGGCATTTACACTTGTAGAGGACAAGCAGTTCAAAACAAAGAAATAGCAGGTTCAAGGAATTATGCATGGCCTTGGCCTGCTCAAGATACAAGGAGCTGCCACTGGGGCTGGGGCTTGTTGAGAAGTGGGACAGACGGGATCCCCAGAAGGTAACAAGAAGAGCCAGCCAGACCAGGAGAGAGGCTGAATTTCATTCAAAGTGGGGTGTGAAGTCCTGGAAGGTTTTTAAATTGGTATCAATCACACTTTTCAAAAGTCACCTTGACTGCCTTATGGACCATGGATTACAGAGAGGCGAGGGGGAGAGAAGGAAGATCCTTTTTGGAGGTAACTGCTATAGTTGTGGCCAGGAGTGCTGGGTAACCATGTTTTCAAGTTTTCTATAAACTAAAGCAACTATTTTGTATTAACATTGAACATGTGAGGTTTCACTTGAATACTTTACCGAGCTGTGTTTCTATATCAGAGATGCAATAATACCTGAGTCCTCAAGGTTTAAGATGAGGTGACAATTAATCAAGAACTGAATTCAGCTTGAGGCTCTTCTCACTGTTTTTT